GGGTAAAGGTTTTTTTACGAACCTTTTGAAGACAAATACAATTCATCGCTTAAGTTTTCCCTCGACAAAATCATTTGTTGCTAAAGCCATTTTTGGCCGGCGAAACGATTTTGCGGCACATGGTACAAATTATATTATGGACTAATAAATTGTGCTTTTCCCTACAAATAAATTTTGATACAAAAAATATTTGTAGATTATTTGTCCCAACAATTAAAAATTTGTAGCAACAGGATACAAATTACTTTGTAGGCTAAAACCTTCTTTTCTCAACAAATAATTTTTTTTTGGGGAGTCATATTTGTAGTCTATTATTTATCTCAACAATTCGTAGGAAAAATTAATTTCATGAATTTTATTTGTTATTTATATTAAATTAATTTTCTAAAAACCTTATTCAAAATAATATAAAGATGCAAAAATACAATAAATTAATTAAGATATTTAGTGTCAATCAATGTAAAATTGAGTCCAAAATATTGCACCAAACATAAATAAAAGTCATTCCCTAAGTATGGTTATATCTAACATAAAGAGTACAACAAACATGCTATGTTTCTATTATTATGCATCTAAAAAATAACTCTTTATACTCATGAATTATATATCCTGTTGATCCTCGTTAAAGTTGTGCTCTTCATCAAAGTTGTTCTCTTCCTATTCAATAGCATCATCTTCCTCATTAGCATTATTCTCCATTGAGATTGGTATAAAAGGTGGTACAACAAAGTCCGGAACTTTACAACATAACTATTGCATAGATTGATGCCAAGATTGTGGTGGAGAATTGAATTGTTTTTCAACAACGTTAAGCTTGTTTTGCTTCCTTTGCTCCATCTCCATCGAGTTGTGTCGGCTACACGTATATTGGAAGGTGTACCTATATCAAAAAGGTTAGCATCTCTCAACCTACGAATATTGGAAGGCGTACCTCTATCTCGAAGGTGCACCTATAGTCTGCTCGAATCAAGAAATTCTTTTATCTTCATGTGGCAGTATTATTGCAGATGGGTAAGCAATTCTTGTGTACCTTTCAATTTTAAGAATCCTTCTAATCGAAAACCAATGGAATAAGGAGCTAATTTGAAACTTTCTCATGGATATATTTATTGTTGATCTTTCAGCAACTAGCGCTCTCAGATCTTTTATCGAACAACTAATGAATCAAGAACTTGGCTAGAATGATAACACTTTTTAGCAGACAATGGAGTCAATCTTCTAACAGTAACTGAGTATTTAAGGAAAATGGATATGCCTTGCTGCAAAGGATTTTACTTATTTTGTTATTTTAAGTAAGAAAATATTATGTTAGGCCTTCCTGCCAAACCGAAAGGATTGTGTTGGGCTTTAATATCTAATAAATTTCGGGCTATGATGTT